TACACAAGTGTGTAAGCTATCTCCACTTGCGTGAGATACTGAGGGTGATGATTTTAGTTGGACATTAATAGGGTATTAGACGATAGACTTTCCATTTCGCTTGGAAAATCGTTTGGAGCCTTACTTTCAAATTCTTACAATATTTAATTAGCAGGTAAAGGCATATTCTATAATAAATGTATTATCAATTCTACTAAATTTATTTGGCATTTGGTGTGCTTTATTTTAATAATAATAAAATACCAACTGACTACATTGCACGCGCGCGAATCGCCATAATACAGAATTTTGGATACTATCCGAGAGTCTTGTTGCGCCACTGCAGCGACAACAACAACAAGAAGATGAGATCGTGACGTTTCCGTGAAGTTTCCGTGAAACTTGAGTTCATGTGCGCTTAACGTCTTCGAGTTATTGCACGGGCTACGATATTGTTGTGTTGGCTATGGTATACTTCCTTTAGTAGCCATCCTAGAGAGAATGGCTTCCTCTTCCCTGCATGGATACGACAGCGACGAATATCAAATTGATATTATCAATGGATGGCAGCATCGTCTCCACCCGCTGTCGCATTCTTAATAACTGGAAAGTCGCTACACCTGCCAGGCTTCGTTCTGCCCGCAGGTGTCAGCACGCTACTGCCGGTAATGCTGTTCGCCGTTCCCCGTAAACGTTTACTTCAGTATTCTGGATCAGCGATTTCAGTCCAGCTTAGTATGTTTCATTGCCAAGAGCGAGATTAAAATATCCACCGTGCTCATGTATTACGCGTGATTGGAGGCAATGACAAAAATCATAAACTTGTGCACATGTTATGCTGACTGGACTCCATGTGACCTCACTTTCGCTTTTGCAGCCTGGTGATTAAGATGGCGGGCGGATCTGTTTTCCAAGTGGGCAAGGATGTCGAGTTGTACCAAGTCGTGGTGGTTCTGAACGCGTTGGCGATATGCTTACTGATATTCGAGGCTGCATTGCACCACTTAGAACACCACGTACTGGCGCACAATGACAAGTACCAGCACATGCTTAAAAAAGTGTATCGTGAGCTGATGATCCTGGGACTAATCAGCTTCATCATCAAAATACTGACCGAAGTGGGAGGTATCGACGGCTACAGCGGCATCATGTTGGCGCTCCAAGTGTCTGACCTCATCATCTTCATCCTGGCGATCACTCTCGTCCTGCAAGCTATCAACGTGTTGCTACTTTTGCGTGGCTACAACAAGCGAACGGATCGAGCTGAGCTCATCACAACCCAAGACTTAGTCGACGGTTTAGATAAACCATCAAAGGAGAATTTGTTCAAGAAGGACGTCGTGAAGCACCGAATACTGCGGCATCTCTTCCTTCGTCGATTCGGTCTCCCCCAGCTCTTCCCCTTTTCCAAGTATCTTCGACGTGCACAGGCGAACAACATTGTGCACATGATAGAAGTCGAGCCATCAATGTGGCTGTTACTGCTCGGAATGGCATGGGCGTTCTCCGCCGTCGTCCAAATCCTCGAAGACTATGACGTGGAGGTGCGCTACGAACTCATTGAAACGCTCATGGCGTTTGCTTGGGTTTTGGTGCTGTTTCACATCCTAGTGATGCTCTACTTCCGTTTCTGCGTGCATCGGTTGTTGGCCATTGCCGGGTACAATAAGGACAAACGTGCCCTGGCGGACAGTCTCAATACCGTCGCTGACGAAGAGGCCAATGCGTGGCACAATGAAGCTGCAGAGAGCGCGTTAGACATGATGAACCGAATCCACGCTCAACATGAAGAAATGGAGCACGAACGCAAGGCGCAACGACGAGGTTTACTCATGGGAGACGAAGGATTTCAGCTCGTTGCTACGTTCTTTCGGAACGTCTTTCGCGT